GAAGTAGGGGTTAGTGTACTTCACTCTGAATTCAGGAAGGCCGAACTTGAGGCCTGTAACCTGGCAGCCACAACAAGTGGGAACCCATAATCAGGAAGGCCTGACAAGGCCTAACGCCCGATAGTCCCAATGCATGGGGAGCTCACATTCAGGAAGGCCGCTGAGGCCTGCAGCCTGACATGTGAAGACTCACCACTACAACTTAGCGACCACGAAAGTGGGGGTTTCACATTCAGGAAGGCCTGGTGAAGCCTGCAACCTGACATGTGACAACTCACAACCAGGAAGGCCAATGAAGCCTGAAGCCTGGTGACCACAGAGTGGGAGCAAAGTGCTCAGGGAAGGTGGTGAGGCTGTAGCCTGGCTACCGCATCATGTGGGAGCCCACATTCAGGAAGGCTGGGTGAGGCCTGTAAACTGACTACCACAGTATGTGGGAACTCATAACCAGGAAGGCCCCTTTGAGGCCTGTAACCTAGCAACCACAATGTGTGGGAGCTCATAACCAGGAAGGCCTGGTGAGGCCTGTAACCTGGCGACCACAGTATGTGGGAGCTCATAACCAGGAAGGCCTGGTGAGGCCTGTAACCTGGCGACCACAATGTGTGGGAGCTCATAACCAGGATGGCCTGGTGAGGCCTTTAACCTGGCGACCACAGTATGTGGGAGCTCATAACCAGGAAGGCCTGGTGAGGCCTGTAACCTGGCGACCACAATGTGTGGGAGCTCATAACCAGGAAGGCCTGGTGAGGCCTTTAACCTGGCGATTATTTTTGTATTGGTGGTGCTATACTAAAAAATAAACATCGTCATGTGTTTATCTTCTTTTCACCGATTCCTAATGGTTAGAGCAGGACAGTTACTTGAGTCGTCCCCTGTCGTTTCAAGGAATAGTAAAACGGCGAGCGGGTCCAGTATAAACGCATCGACCGTTTGGAGCGCTGCGCGCGCTGTCTGTGGAGACTCGCGCATACTTTCGCCTGCCTCCGCAGCGCGAGTTTCCACAGACAGCGCGAGTCTCGACAGTTTGTACTTGACCCGCTCGCATCCGGAGTCGTCGTCATGGCGGCGCGTGCATTGTTTAGAGCAGATATAGGCCGTCTCCTCGCGGGTTCAGATACACTGAAATACGTCCGCACCGCAGACATGTTGCTTCAGACAAGCACATGCAGGTCGCGGTTTCTGTTTGCGTCATCACAACATTTCGGCCATATTGTTTCGGTGATAAAAGTCTTTTGGCCGAAAACTGAAAATGCACTTTTGGGCCGTTTTCGACCGAAAATTTTCGGTGGTCGAATATTCGGTCCATCCCTACACCACACATTTGATATACTTGCCTTTGATGATATCCATAGCCAGTATCACATCCATGACAAGATTTTCAGAACAGTGGGTAGAATTTTTTGAAGGCCTTCAGAGTCTTTGGAGTTCATGAAGAGACTAACATGACAGCTGACTCTGAGGCTGAGGATGAATCTGACCATGAAGAAACCGCAGAGTTTCATGACATGTACACAATTTTGGAAGCAGATACAGGTTTAGAATATCATCTTCCAAAACACCAGCGATGTGCATGTCATCGTTGAATCTAGTGGAAACAGCAGATGCTTCTGCTGCTGAAACTCATAATGTGACCTACAGAAAGCTGTCACGCTCTGCTTTTTCCAAGTGCCATATGTGGAACAAAACTGCAAGATCTTCAACAGCTTCTGAGGTTGTGGATGCTGAATGAGTGTTCACTATACCTGGCTGTCAAAAGGGTGGTCCGTATAATCAAAGACCAAAGATGAGGAGGCGATTCGGAATGTGTGTGGGGCCTCCAAAATAAACATGTAAGTTTTATATGTAACCCTGGGTAAATTTCTACATTGTAATTCGTTATTGTTATTATTGTTATTTTTTTATTTATATAATTTTATTTATCTAGGTTAAATGGGTATGCAAAAATGTGCTGCTTGATGCTGACGGTTTATTATTGAATCAAAGTGTACTTGTTCAGAAAATGTGAATGTCAGTGAGTTTGTACTTTGAACTGTCAGTAACAGCTTGATTCCGCCTCAGATGAGTTATAGCGACTGTGATTGGCCAGTGAGAATGTCAGTCAAGGTAGGCAGGGGAAGAGGAGAAAAGAAGTGAAAAAAAATGTTGTCGACATGATAACAGAGCGCGGGTGAATAACAAGGGTTTTCATGTGAAATATAGTCAGAAGAACTACGTTGTTTAAGTGTTAAGTCGAACAGTATTCTGTTGTGAGGTCAACACGACCACACTAGGTAGTCAACACGACGCGATTCGGAAGAACTGTATTAGTTTAACGCTTGATCGCTATCGCAGTGAATCAGACTATTCATGTGACTGGTGAGAAACTTTACTCAAGTTTATCCGTTACATCTGCGAATGTAAGCGTGTCAAATGTGATCAAAGCGATTGCCAAGAACTGGTAGTGCATCGATCGAGAGTGACAAAGCCGTTGAGGAATCCAGATAGCGCTCCTAATCCCCGAGTGGTTAGGAGTTCCTCTGGCATCGCGGGAGCATCGCGGGAGTTTCACGGAGTTTGCTAACTGATGTCTGCTGCATGTGGATGGATCTGATGGGTGACGGAAATCAATAACTCTTGCCACTTACACTCAGGTACACTTTGCTTATTTTATTTGTGCTCCTGTAGAGCGAAGCGGCCATTTTACGTTTTACTCGGCCTCAACGCACACAAGCAACGTTCCAGGCCTGCAACGGTGTTTGAGTGTGTGTGTGTTGTGGGCCCACAATAGAGTGTTTTTTTTTCCCCAATTGATGAATGATCTAATGGTTTAAAACTCTTGTCATATTACGGTGTTACAGTTTGCATTTCTTGTTGAAACTGAGGTTTGTTTACATTTCTTTATTACTGAGTTTCATAGAGACCGAAATTTCACTGGTATATTGGTTTGCACTGAGCATTTAAAGACAAATTTATTTTTTTTTTTTTGTAAAGTAAGGAAAAGTTAATTTAAAGAGTGATTCATTAGATATCCTTATTTTGAAGGGAATCTAAAAGGTTAACCCTTTAAGTGCCTGTTGCTGAGAAGAGTTAATCAAACACTGCATTTGAAAATACCAGTTTTTTCAGAAGTTGTTTGAACAACTTTTATTCATCTCTAATGTGATTCACTTTTGTTAATTCTTTTTTGTTTATTTTTATTTTATCTTATTTTTTTAAATAAATCCATTGTGTATTTCAGTTATAGTGTGGTCACTTGACTAGTAGCCTAGCTGTAATTGGTTAAACGAGGTTTTCAGAGATCTGAGTTGCACTTTATAAAAAGTAGTGTAGAATCAAGGGTCACAGATTGATTATAAAATCACGTCGAGAGACAAATAAACGAATCTGGGTTCAAGCGTCTAACATCCCAAAAGGGTAGATACACTTAGGATGGTAGGGGGCGCTACATATATTAGTTATTTTTCTAAACAATTTGCCTTTATAAATGAATTTGCCCTTTAAATCCAGCTGAGATTGCCTTGCTCTCTGAGTATGTAGCAGTGATAAAGCTTGTGACATTAGCACTCACTGTCCTAGAGGCTGAGAGCAACACCCACATGGGATGTTTACTCCCAACTGTGTTCCAACTAAAGGCAAAAAACAGGGGTCTTGTAGTTAATATGGTTTGTGTATTTTTATATATAATATATTTTTATGGGGTTATCTGTAACTTTTGTTTATTTTTATTTATTTATTTTTTTGCATTATTCTGTAGTTAGTCTACAGTACACATCAGTTATCTTCACAGTCTTTTTATTGCACTAAACCTGAATTTACATATACCCAAATTATTTTGGGGTCCAGAAACATCTGAGAACATTCTCAAATCAAGAATCCCAGATGTGAGATGTCGGATGAAGAGGACTTCTTTTCATCAATGAAGGCAAGACCTCCAGATTCCACAGGTGAACTGCAGAGATACCTGGCATTCACTTCGGAAAACATAGGGCTTCTTCATACATTCCCATGTGTAAAGAAATTTTCTCTATGTTTGAATACAGGACTTCCTTTTTCGGCAACCTGTGAGCATTTGTTTAGTTGTGCTGGGCAACTGTTCACTGTCAAGCGAGCTAGGATTGACTGTACAAACTTTGAAAATCAACTTCTGGTAAATCTGAATAAGGCATTTAAGGAATGAAGTGTCTATTGTGTGCTCTTTCTTTCTTTCTTTCTTTCTTTTCTTTCTTTCTTTCTCTTTCTTTCTTTCTACCATGTCAATACAGACATCAAGAATCAGCATATGAAGGAAGGAATAAGTATATATGGAAAAACCTCACAAACACCAAGGCAGGCAAGACAGGCAAGACGTGGTTTCAACGGGACAGCATCTCTGTCCCAATTTGAGACACTCTCGCACTGTACTCCCTATTTCCTTTTGTGTGTGTGTGTGTGTGTGTGTGTTATGTGCAATGTCTAAGGTGCATTAAACTTTAGATATTGCACATAACACACACACACACACAAAAAACAAAACAAAAAAAAAACAGAAAAATAGGAAAAGATAGGGACTGATGAGATGTGGGGGAAGGTTATCTTATATTATATTATCTTATTATATCATATTTTAGTTTATACAAGATTGACAATGGCAATTGTTACATAGGAGGAAGGATGGAAATAAAAATCTACCAACACAATATGGGCAGTATGGTGGTAGTGGGGAGAGGGATGGTGATGGTAATGACAATGGTAATAAATAATAAATGGTTATTTTGTTTACGCATACACACACATACACATACCCACACTCACACCCGCTCACATACACACTTAGATCAAGCACTTAAATCACTCCTGGAATTATGGATTTACAAGATTGCTCACTACTGCACTATGTTGGTTTGTTTGTATGTATGTCTGATTGTTAAATAAAAAATAAAAATAAAAAAAAGATTTTGAGTTGCTACAACATCTAAAAAAATATATATTCTTCCTTTAGGCTTTTTAGTGACAAAATCTTACTGAAACAGAAATATTCACTATGATATTCCCATTTGTTTCTTGAAAAACAATCTCATAATATGCTGGCGCACTATTGTCAGATTTAGTCCATAAAGGAGAGGATTTAAAATAGGTGGTACAACTAAGAATTGAAGAGCCATGAAATTACGCACACCTTGAGGCACATTCTTTGAGCCATAACGACTGTACAGTACATCAAACATAAATGCAGCTGTCACATTGATCAGTGCAAGCAGATGTGGTACACATGTTTGCATGAATTTGTGCCTGCCCTCTATTGACTTCCTGCACTTTCTAATCAAGTGAATGTATGAGCAAAATATCAATACTGCATGTCCAAAACATGTAAGAATAACAATGTACCCAAACACATTATTTACTATTGTAGAAAAACAAGAAAGTTTTGCAACTGCCCAAACCTCACAATATAACTTGTCAATATTAAAGCCACATAAGGTGAGTCTAGATAATAAAATAATAAGAACAGACATTGAAAAAAATGGAGCCAGCCAGCAGTAAAGGATACATTTCAAAATTATCTGATTTGTCATTTTTGAATGATACTCCAGTGGTGTACATATTGCCACATATCTGTCATATGCCATCACTGTTAATGTGAAAAAGTCACACAGAATAGATGAATAAATGACAAATATCTGAATCAAACATCCAGCATAAGAAATCACATGATCGTGTGCTAATAAATCATACAAGAATTTAGGGTAGAATCCAGAAGTGCCAAAAAGTCCATTTACACACAGATTACATATAAACACATACATTGGCTCATGAAGCTTCTTATGTAAGAGTATAGTTGTAATTATAGTTACATTACAAAAGACCATCAAGGGATAGTATAGTGCGGTAAGAGAAAACAAGACATATCTATTTTCCATTGTTTCATTTAGAGCAGAGAGTGTAAATACCAAGACACTGGACTCATTCTTTGATAGTGACTGCATCTTCAATGATATGTAATTATGTGGATTTTGTTTTTGGGAAGTTCTTTGAAAACGAATTCGTTGGATCAAGATGAATTGTCACTGTCAATAGGAAGTCTGTAGATGAAAAACACCACCAAGCAAACATCAAATCCTATATCAGTAGCAGACTTTTTTCTCAGTTACAAAACAGTTGGAATCTTACCATGTTCTCCATTCACATGCTTCCTGTAGTGTTTTGTAAAGATTCGATTTGGTTTGCTATATATGGACACTGGTCTCATGCTAATTGCCTTGGTAACAACCCCTGAAAACCATTTGAACAAGCTCTCTGAAGACTACCTTCTATTAAAGGAACACTCCGACTTTTTGGGACTTTAGCTTATTCACCGTATCCCCCAGAGTTAGATAAGTCCATTCATACCTTTTTTCATCTCAGTGCGTGCTGTAACTCTGTCTATAACCCACCGCTAGCCTAGCTTAGCACAAAGACTGGATGTAAATGGATACAGCTAGCATACTAATCCCAATAAGAGTCAAAATAACGCTAACATTTTCCTATTTACATGTTGTGATTTGTATAGTCACAGAGTGTACAAATAACAAGGTTAAATGAGACACAGACGTCTTTTAACCGTATAGATATTGTGAACTATATTCTCAGAAGGCGAAGTACTGCTACTTGTGCGGAGTCATTACCGCAGCACCTGAGACACACCGAGGCGAGGAGCAGAGAGTTCACTCAGAGTTGGAGTATAGAGTCAGCAATTACTATAGTAAAAGCATAGTTTACAGTCATGGGTGTTCACTGTATTGTATTATCAAAAATTAAAATTTGAGTGTATCATTACAAAACATTTACAATTACATGCTATATTCAGAAATATTGGATTTCTTTTTTTTTTAAATTCCACAAAATTTCTTGTTCCTAATTGTAACATATTTGTGGATCATCAGATGGATCAACTGAGAGGATGTTTCTCCAGGACCACTGTTACTCAATATTTGAGTGTAGTGGCAGATAGAGCATCCATATGCTTGTTCAGAAGCAAAGAGGGAGAAGGACTTGGGCCCTATTCCAGATGAAGTGGTAAGTAATCTGACTATTTACGTTTCGTTTTAAAGACGGGAGTACCGTACATTTTGAAGACTCTGCCATAATCCCGTTTTCTTCGGTTTTCCTCCGCTTAAATCTCCACAACCGGAAATGGACGAGCATCCTTGCGCCAAATGCGTGCATATAGTCCATTAGTTGTAACACTCACTGTCACATAGCTTAGTTAATCAAGTTCCCTAACTCTCTCAATTCAGATGTTCCACATAGACCTATAAATAATGTAATCATTTACTATATTATAGCCGCTCGTTCTATTGTCTGACAACAACAAAAAAAAAAAAATAGGAAATGAAAGCAGCTTTATTTGACATTTGTCTATATTTTATTAAATAGGGAATTATTTTAGAGAGAAAACGTACTAGGCTGACAGAATGCAAGTACGATGTGATGACATCATTAATAAGCTAATTGATGTATGACGTCATCTAGCGACTTTTAGAGAAGGCCTTAGCTATTTTCATTTGAAAATAGTTGGTAACAGTGCCCACACTTTGAGAAAGGCTGGTCTAGTCTGACATCATAACATGGCTTACTCACGCTGAACTGTTTATCCAACCCGATCTCACGACCAAGTCGTACGAATTCGACGAATGATTAAAAAGTGGCTAACTCGTAACAATTCATACGACCTCACTCGTACGAATTAATACGATTTTGCTAAATCGTACATGTTTTACGAATTGGCCGATTCGTATGAATTCATACGAATGACCTACCCCTTAACCCCGCCCCTAAACTTAACCATCACGTGGGTTTAGACAAATCGTACGAATTAGTACGAGTGAGGTCGTACGAATTAGTACGAATTAGCCACTTTTTAATCATGCGTCGAATTCGTACGAATTGGTCGTGAGATAGTGTTGGTTTATCTGGCGACTGAAGATGCCAGTGACCTCAGGCTGAGGAACTGCAGTGGGTCGAGCTTTTGACCTTTTTTTCTGGACATTTGTAGTATGGTTTGTGTTGTTCTCCTCTCGCTCCAATGTTGCAGTAGCTTCCCGCAAAAGCTAACTAACAGATTTCGCCATGACTTTCAATATATTCGTATCATATCACACATTCACACTTGCTCAATCTCCCTCATTCAGATGGGGCGTCGACGGCGTCACTTTATGGAAGTGACTCTGTAGCCCCGTTCCTTGAACAAGCCCCACCCACTCATTAACATATGATTTGCATAGAGGTTGTCTTTGAAAATGAAAACTAAAACTGAAATAAAAGAATAAATAAAATAACAATTAAACTTAACATTTGAATGTTTTGAATGTTTGATTTTTACTTCTAAAATGTTTGTTATATTAGTTTAAATGTTGTAATACATATTAAAACAGCATAAAATATGGTGTATTGCTGTACTCATCGACAATAAAGGCCAATGTCATGTATAACCAGGGGTTAAAGTGGTCCAGAACGGTCTGGAACCGTGTTCGGCAGCTCATATATATTAATAAATAAATAGACTGATTAATATCAATAATGGCGCAATGGTAGGCTAATGTTAAAAAAAAAAAATGTTGTGTGCATCGTCAAATTTCAGCCAGCCTGTAGTTCCTTCTGAAGTAGTCCTTCCGTGTCAAATCAAAACGTAATATAACCCCCTGGCCCTGCCTTGACAAACACGCTTCCTGAAGTTATGTTTGGTTCTTCTGTCTGATTAGAGGACATCTAGGCCAGTACATGCATGCAGTCAAAGTCCTTTCTCTCCTCCTCACTGAATGATAGCGAATGCGTGAAATGCACTCTTGCTGGTTGAGCGCAGTAAAGTTAGTTTTAGGTTTGATGTTTGCTGCACATTTGTTTTCCCTTGCCACTGTCTTACAAAGATATCAGTTTTAACATTGTTTGACCATTGTATATCGACATGAAATCAAAATCAGCGAAAATGCTTCTACATATGAAGAGTTCAGATGCAAAAGCCTCTAAATGCCATTTGAAATTTTCTTCTAAAATGACCATTTTTATCAAGCTTGTATATTTCAGTTCAGTAATTTCACTTAAATGACAATTAATAGGTAATCTTCATTGCCATTTAAGTGAAATTACTTAACTTAGAAATACAAGCTTTATAAAAATGATCATTTTAGAAGAAAATTTCAAATGGCACTTAGAGGCTTTTGCATCTGAACTCTTCATATGTGTACCTGAAAATGCTTTGACGCGTTTCCACAGCGTTTCTAAATAAGGATTGCATTACTTGGTGCAACAGTGACACTCTTGTCCCAAAACGTTTTGCTATACCTCGATATATTGTCTTACGGTGAGTCATTTTTTTCCTGTTGCACCTACACAAAGTTCCCACACCTGCCAAATCCCACAAATCCCACTATAACCATACAGGTGTTTGTATGGAATATTTTTACAAAGGTTTAGAAGAAATAAAAAAAGTTAATATTACTCGTAAATTAAAACAGTTAAAGGTCCCCTGATTTTTTGACTTTCTGAAGTTTTTTAACATTAAAATGAGTTCCCCTAGCCTGTATATGGTCCCCCAGTGGCTAGAAATTTCAATTGGTGTAAACCGAGCTTTGGCTATATTTCTCTGCCTTTGAGAAAATGAAAGCTCAGGCGCACTGATCTTGAATCTCCTCCGTATGACATCATATGGGGTAAAGGTGACCTCCCCCATCTCTGCTTTGCCTGAACAGAGAACGTGGCTCAACGTGATTTGAGTTTTTCCTTGAGAGATATCATGGCTTACGAACGAGCAAAGCATGGCATTTGATCAGTGTTCAGACGTACAAGTGAACACAAAAGTATTTTTTTGTTGCTTCATTCGAGCCAAACAATGGGTTCTTTTTATTTTCTCTGAAAATGCGCCGACACAACTTCCCAAAATTTTGTATGGTCCAAACATTTCACCGGCGACAGTTTCCTCAACAGAGCTGGCCTCGATGAATGTCTGATGATAAATCGATCGAGGTATCAAAGATGTGTATGTTAGCCTAATTGTTCAAGTTCAGGCAGGTAATCTTTCTCTCAAAATCATTCAACACTGTTTATGCATCAGTAAGTCAAGCCAGTGACTGAAATATCAACGTCACATCATTTAATAAACCCATTTAAATTGTGATCAAATTATATACAGAAAGCGATCAAAGAACAATTTTTACTGTATGTACCTTACTGTATGTGCATTATCGTGTTTGCATTGGTGAGAGCATTAGAGAGAGTGCAGAAACTGCATTGAAATATTTCGATCTTCATTCTCGTGACTCTTCATTCTCGACAGACTGTCATCAGCTTGCTCAACAACATTTCATGTGATGGGAATAGATCTAAATACTATAAAAACTTTCTACAATTTATTAAACTCGATAGCTGTAATAGTAACGTACAATAGTAAAAGTATTCGAGAGAGACGTAATAGTAGCTCCAATTATTTATACTCAATTTTATTTGTTGGGTGTTAAATTTAAATTTGATTCGGACCAAGCAATATGTTTATATATTTATATTTCAAACATAGCACATGCAAATATTTGTTAACACTTTTGTGAATGTGTCCTAACGGTAATTATACAATTAAGTAAAGAGTCGCAGAATGTACTTACTAGTTTGTTGGAATTAGTGTTTGGTTTATGGTTAGTTGCATGAAATAAAGCATAATTTAATGTTATGTGTAGAATAAATACATTATGTAACAAATCCACTGTAAAATAAGTGTTACCACTTAAATATGTGTGTTAATTTACAGGATTGAAATGACAGTGAATATCAGTCAAGTGTTAGCTTCAGATGTCCTTGGGAAAGAAATAAGGTGTGAAAGGGCATTGTTCTGAAGTCAGGGGGTAATATTTGTAGACGGAATAAAAAGAAAAGTTGATGACCATAGCAAACATTGACAGACATCAGAGTTTTAAAAGGTTTACATGTTCCCTTGTCTATTTTAGCTCCTCTTAAGAAA